AACTAAAATGTTAATTGGCATGACCAAAAGATTGATGTCTTCTTCCAAGTGCAGGAGTGTCGAAGTAATAAATAACCCAGCAAGACCAGTGTCAAACCACATGGAGATTAATTGTATAAATTATAAATAACAATAATACAACAACAACAACAATAGAATAAGAAGAAATGATGAGAACTTTGAGATTGAAGATTAATGTAAGGATTAAAAAATGATAATAACAAATGTTATAGTTAGAGGATCCACTAATGGTATTTCAAACAAGTATGGTATAAACTCTTATTACTTAAATGAAAACCACACAGAAAGTAGGTTCTAATCAGATTATAAATTATTAACATGATTACATTAGTTATCTTATTCGAATAATACTAATACTTGTAACTATTATCAAAAGCATTACAAAAATACAAAGAGAGAAAGCAAGAGTATGATCTTGATCTAGAGACCAAGATGCTTGAATGCATGGTAAATGCCTCCTTTTATAGGCTAAAATTAGAAATTGTTGATTGATGACTAATTGTTGAGTGGGTGGCCAACTCTTGACTTGGTGACAATTCTTAACTTTTTATCTAGGCCAACTCTTGACTTGGTGACAATTATTAACTTTTTATCTACCCAAAACATCATTGATAACATTAGAATTTGAACTAGACCTCCACATGAAGGTTGTAGGAAATTATCTCAGTTTTCAGAAAAAAAAAATTTGAGGTCATTTGAACTTTTAGAACTCTAGATATGGGTTGAACACTAAACAGTGTTTGGGCTGCGGGATAGATTCAGACTTCTTTGTTGTTGCTACAATTTGGACTTGAAAATGATATTTTTAAATCTTGGACTCCACATGAAAGTTGGAGGTTTATATCTTATCTTTCTATCCATATAAAGTAGATCTAAATCTGAGGTCTACATCTTCAAATATGGCTCAATTATCGAATTGTGTTCCAGTTTGGATTATACCAATCTTTTTTCTAAGTTTGACCATCTCTTTGTCTTTTTAATTTTTGTACTTGAATCATCAATCAATCCTTTCATTTATGTGACATGCCTGCATTTAAGATAAATATTTATCACTAATCAAAGGTATCTTATGGTATCAAACTTGTTATTATAAAAAATACTTTAATTAAGGAGTTATTGATTCAAGTGCAACATGATGATTTAAAACTTTGATAAAAATAAATTTTTAAGTACTAATTATTAATATGACACTGAAAATATAGGTTAATCCCTTTTGATGTATGAGTGTTTTAGAAAAATAAAATATTTTTTATTTTTCTTTTTTAGTTTAGAGATTTTATTTATTTTTCTATTTACTATTATCAGGCTTTTCTAGTTTTTCTATTTAAAGGGAATGCTTTTTTTTATTTTCATATTTAACATTAATAGTATTTTCTTTTTCTTTATAAAGAGTTGTAATAGTTTTGTTTTTAGCAAGTGAGACTTTAATGGATAAAAGTTAAATAATTTAGGTGTCTTCCCATTATTATGGTATTCATCATATTTAAAAAGCTTAATTTATAACAAACTTTGTTATCTTTTAATCTTTGATGTGTTAGTTGGTATCAAAGTTCAATAATTTCTTGTAATTAGCTACTATTTGTTGTTATTGGAAATCATGGTGGGACTCGTGATAGAGGAGGCCATAAAAGGAATTAGGGATCCATGATATAGTAGCCCACACAAAAGTATTATGGATCTACAATAAGGTAATCCACGTAGAAAAGGATAATTGGTTTTCTAATGGAGGAGGTTATGTTTAGAAAATTTTATATTGGATGTTTTCACGATGATTTAGACTTGAGTACGATTCCTAACTGAGGAGGTTTTATAGCATGAACAATCTGAACTTAAGGATGAGTTCCTTCTAATCTAATGAGATTAATGCTGGAGTTTTTTGGGAAAAGAAATATTTTCATTAAATATTCTTATTTCTTTTCTTTTAGTTTAGAAATATTATTTATTTTCTATGTAGTATTGGAAGTTTCTCTAGTTTTTTTATTTGAAGGGAGTTATTTTTATATGTGAAATTAATAGGGTTTTATTATGTTATATATATATATATAAAAGATCGTAATAGCATTTTGACAAGTGAGCATTGAATGAATAAAAATTAAATATTTTTGGTGTCTTCTCATAAATATATTTATGATGTTTTTAATCTTTCATAGTTTTGAGTAAACTCCATTATCCTTTGTTTCTTACTTGCATCACCTTTTCTTTTATTTGTTTATTTATGCATCATATAGTTTGAATTACTTCTAACTTATATAATACCATATTGACACTTTATTTTAATAATCAAAACTCTGAAAGTATTATTAAAAATAAAATAAAAATTACATCATTTACCAAAATAGTAAACAATGTTCTTGTTATAATTTCAACCATAAAAAGACTTCTATAAACAAAATGATTTATAAAATTTCTATTCATGTCATTATTTGTAATTTTTTTACCCCATATATTATTAAAATTTAAAAATAATAAAATTACATTGAAATTCAACAAATTATTTAATTTAATTGGACCTTAGTTGTTTTTTTAGGGGAATCATTAGGTGAATTTTTATATTATTTTTATACTTTTAAATATTAACTATTAAATAGATTTATCATGAAAAACTTGCCAGAAATATTAAATAAAGAAAGAATACAATGGTAAAGAAATTAGTTAAGTTAAAGACCAAACTGCAATGAAAAATTATGTTAATCTTATAATATTTATTATCTCAAGACTTATTTAAAATCTTGTGAACTTTAGAGACAATAATAATGAACTTTAGGGACAATAATGTATCATTGCTTTTTTTTTTTGTGTAAGTAATGAAACTAAAATAGCATTTGATTATTGTTTTAGGAGGGAAGAAATAAAGACAATAAATATAAGAGATAAGACAAACAAAAATATGAATATAGAATTGCGTTTGGTAATAATATATAAGACAAAATTATTTTCTCTTTATCCTATTTGGTTATAGTAGGTAAGACAAAATAAAATATATAAAAAATCTATTTTACCTTTAATATATATTACTTTCAAACTTATATATTTAAAAAGATAATTAGATATTAAATAAAAAATCAATAGATATTATTATCTTTTTACTTTAGTTTATATTAAGGGTTGAAATTAATAATATAATAATACTCTAAGTATAAAACAAAGACTGACCTGGTAGGTTGACCAAGAATCAACAGATCTAGGACCTGGACTAATTCGGGTTTAAGAAAAAAATAAAGAAATAATTGACTTGACCTCATCCAATAAAAAACTCAGATCTACTCGAGATATAATATTGGTTAAGAACCGATTGTTATTTTTTAAAATTTCTTTGGTCAAAACAAGGTTCTTTTGATAATTTTTAAAAACATTTTGGGTTAACTAAGTGACATTCCTAACCTATGATCTAAACCTAATCTTGGGTCGACTCTCAAATCAAATTTTAAAATTATGATAATAATCATTTTTATTCACACATTGACTCGGGTTAACCTGGGTTGACCCTCATTATCTGATCAATTCTAGGGTTGAGTTCTACAATCATGATAATTAGAACTTTTATCCTTACATTAATTTGGATTAACCCATATTAACTCTCTTGATTCGTAACTAAACACATGCTCTGGGTAAACCCCTAAATTCTTTTATTCTTAAAGTTAAATTGGATCTTAACTTTAGTTAACCCTTAAACTAGTTTTTAAAATTATGATAATAACCATTTTATTTTTATGTTGACTCAAGTCAACTTAACTAATGACTTGAGCCTTGAATAGTGATATAAACTTTGTCCTGGATCGACTCGAAAGTTAATTTTTAAAACCATGGTAATCATGATTTTTATCTTTATATGTTTTAGTTAGATAATTTTGGAATTGAGAGTTTCTTACAAGAATATTTTAAAAATACAAAATAAAAAGTATAGTTTTTAGAGACATATCAACCAAACATATTTTAAAAATATAAAAATTCACTTTAAAATTACTTCTAAGATAAAATTTATGTTTATATCTTTATTTCTATATTTTCAACCAAATATATTTTTGTTTATCTTCATCTCTTTGTTGTCCCAAAACAATAACCAATTGTTACCTAGTAGCCAAAATTAAAAGAAAATAGGCATGTGGTTTTAAAGTCTTTTAAGGCAATGTTTGTTTTTGTGGCATAGGCATGTGGTTTTAAAGTCTTTAAGGCAATGTTTGTTTTTGTGGCAGCATCATACTTTTTAAAAAAATTAAATTTATTTGCTTGAAATTAATTTAAGGTGTTTTTAGATTGTTTTAGTGTAGTAATGTCAAAAATAAATTTTAAAAAATAAAAAATTATTTTAATATATTTTTAAGTAAAAATCACTTTAAAAAACAACTATTACCATAATACAAAACATTTAGTTGAAACACCATTAGAATAAAAAACTCTCTAAACGCTAAGCCTTTTCTTTTTGTTCTATTAATATAACTTGGCCTATCACCTAGACCTTGAATGATGACTCGGGTCGGGTTTTGCTTCAGATTGATTCTAGAGTTGAATTTTAAATTATAATAATAATTATTTTTATTTTTATATATTTTATTTAGATAATTTTAGAATTGAAAAATTTTTACAATAATATTTTAAAAATAAAAAATAAAATATATTATCTTTAAAAACATATTCTTTTATCACCTTATGTTTAAAAATATAAAAACTCACTTAAAAATTGCCCTTGAGATAAATTTATATTTACATCTTTCCCCCCCTTTTTTTTATCAAGAAAGTTATTATTTTATTGTCTTCACCCCTTTAGTGTCCCAAAACAGTAAATAATAGCCAAAATTAAAATGAATAGGTACGGGATTTTAAGTTTTTGTAATGATATCGTGGGTTTTAAAAAAAATATTTTTTTAAAAAATATTTTTTTTAATATAATAATATTAAAAATAAATTTAAAAAATAATAAAAAATGTTTTAATATATATATATATTTTAAAAACAACCAGAGCTACCATTACAGTAAAACAGTACTTAAACACCAAAAGAATCGAAAACCCCCCAAACTCTAAAACCCTTCCTTTCCTGTCCGTTAATATATCTCGAGCCGCCTCTCTCCTCCGTCTCCCTTAGTTTCTCTCTCCTCGGAAAAATCATGGACAAAAACCTCCTCGCCAACAGAGTAGCCGCCGCGTCGGATAAGGTGACTTCCGTCCCCGTATCCGTACTCATAAACACACTGATTTTGATTGTACTTAACCAAAGGCTAGCAATTTGCAGATATTGAGCTTGTTATGAAAGTAGTATTTTCATTTTCTAATAAAAAGACATGTGAAACAGGTGCTTGCTGAAGTGGTGAAGTTAACTCAAAAGCAAGGAAAGAGAGGTAGTCAAGGAAGCTGGAAGCAGTTTTTAAATGTTTATGAGAAGAAGTTTGGGTCTGGCTTTAGTGATCCGGCGAGAAGGTCACGCGATTCACTCGTTGCGTTTCTTCAAACTTTTACTGATGAAGATGGCTTGAAGGTGATTAATTTATTACCACTTCTTTAAAATAGATGTTATTGAATATTGACTTTTATCAATGTTTTTGTTTTAAGTTTGTTGATAATGTGCTTCGGTCGCTTTCGAACTGTGAGATGTTGAAAGAAACTATGAAAGAATCTCTGGAAAATGAATCACCTGAACAGGTATAGTCCATCAAGCAATTGGTCTTATAGTTTTTAAATGTGTTTCTCCGTTTTCTCATGCGTAGATCTGTTTTAATCATGGGTGTTACATCTGTGGCTGTGCAGAGGCTGGTTCGTTCAACTCTTGAACATCCACTTTACCTGTCAAAGTATGCACTTCCATCGTATGAGAAGGTCTGCGATAATAGTTAAATATTGTTGGACATTGTGTGGCTGTGATGCTTATAGTTGAATGTTGTTAGACACTTTGTGGCTATGATGCTTATAGTCAATTTGGTTTGCCTTCTTGTTTAACTTGTGGAAATGATGTAGCAGGGATGGGCAGTAACGAAGGTCCGGAAAAAGCCCAAGCTGCTAAGATGTAATAAAATGCTTGCTGTTGATTGTGAGATGGTTCTCTGTAAAGATGGTACCGATGCTTTAGTGAGGGTGTGTGTGGTGGATGCAGATTTAAAGGTATAAAAGATCCTTTTGTTTTGTCTTTTGCTTGTTTGGTATAATTTAAGCCCCTCAGAGATCTATTTTTTAATCATTGAGGCCTAACTGAAATGTAAATGATTGAGTCATAAAATATACATGATTATTTTGGCATCTTTCAATACAGTAACTTTGGACTTTATCCACTCAGGTAAAACTTGATGAATTAGTGAATCCATGCAAACCAGTTGAAGATTATAGAACTGAGATTACTGGAGTTACTGCTGAAGTTTTGGATGGAGCGTCTTGTTCATTTGCAGATATACAGGTTCATTAACGGGTGACCTATTATATCAGATTGTCATTTGGTCTTCTTTGTCGGAAGCTAATCCATGCATTTTACAGATATCCATGAAGAAGTTATTATCGAGGGGAACTATTTTAGTGGGCCATAGTTTATATAATGACCTAGAAGGTATTATGCTGAGCTCTTTTTGTTGGTTTGGTAAATGATGATAGAACCTGATGTTCGAACTTGTGTTGCAATGTGTTCATACATTGACACTCTCCCTTCTGCAATTTGTTGACAGCACTAAAGTTAGACCATGCAAGAGTGATTGATACGTCATTTATTTTCAAAAGTTCAGATGGACTATCACCTTCCTTAAATAATTTGTGTAAGGTAAGCTGCTTGTGTGTATACATGCTTCTGTGCTTTCCATGATAAAAGTTAAGAAATTGAACCATCACATATTCATCAGAAGGCAAAGAAAGCAACTGTTGGTGGTTTGTAGATGCAAGGCTGATTTTTCATATATTTGTTGACAGTCTGTGCTGGGCTATGAACTTCGCAAAGCAGGTGATCCACACAACTGCTTAGATGATGCATGTGCTGCAATGAAACTTGTTCTTGCTAAGATCGAGCGTGGAGTTGATAATTACATTCCATTGATTCAATCAGATGTGAAGGATGTAAGTTACAATATATGTTTCCTGTGTACCTCTAATTTTGACTGATGTGCTCATCAATGATTTATTTATTTGTTTTGTAATTATAGGTTCCAGAAATAGAAATGGCAAAGCTACTTCTCCACAAAATACCGGTTACTGTCCCCCCAGAAAAATTACGTGGACTGTTCCCCGCAAACTATACAATTGAAATCAAGGTTGAGTATATTCTGTTTGTATTTTTATTTTTCTTTAGAAGATGATACATAATTGTATTCAATACCTGGATAATTTAAGAGAACATTAGGGCTCGAAGAATAATGGCTTCTGATGGAGTTATTCATGTGAACAACCTCGGGAATAGTGATTTGATAATGATAATGTGGTTGTAATTTTTCTTTAGAAGATAAAACGTGATTGTATTCAATACCTGTCACCTTGTTTTCATTGTAAAATATTGGTTGTAGGGCTGTTTATGCTGTCTCTGCTTCTCATCATGATAGCAACTGCATTATGCTTGTCCATGGAACTTCCATCTTACAATATCTTAACTTGATTAGCATTTGCCAGCAGAAAATAGCCACCAAAGTAATGATGATCATGGTGATGAAAAAGAGTTACTGATATGATTGTTCAGTGGAGACAGCTTTTTATGTGTCATCCATTTTAATGATGCATGTGAAAGTAGAGAAAAGAGTTTATTTTGTTTTGTCTCCATATTTAACACATTTGTAGCAAACCTGAAGAAGCTATCAAAATTGTATGGATCTTGCAATATTGGTTTGAAAAGGAATCCACTATTTAGTGTGATAACTTTAAGAAACAATTTGAATCATTGATTCCTCCCAACCTACCTAATTTCAAACGAATTGACCTCAGACAGCCTTTCTCCAGGTTCGTTGGTGGCCAATAGTGAACTTTTAGCATCTTGGTTGAACCTTAGAATTATTAAATTTTGATTTATCGGGTTCATTCCTTTTGTATGCAACTCCATGCTTAGTTTTTAACGTAATGAATAATTTTGTGGCAGACACATAAAGTGATTAAGGGAGTGGGATATTCTGTGCTTGCCATCTTTAAGAATCCAGAAGAGGCATGCCAAGCATTTGAAAATTTGATTGGCAGCCTAGAAAAGGTATGTGGTAGGTGCTTTGCCATTTCTAAATATGTATACATGTATTAGTTTACTGCTAGTTTTCACGTCTTTGGAAGATAAGTTCTGTTGCAAACAGTTCATTCTTGATCCACTAAGTACAGAGCATCATGAGCTATTGTGCTCCGCTGTGGGATTCTATTTTCTGCTGCAACCTTGCCTTAAATATGCTTGAATGAGTGAATTCAAATTCTGTGAATACATGCACCTAATCTATGCTTGTTTGGGAGACTGCCAGCAAATTTTTGGATTTTAGGTATGCTGAATGAATGTTCTCATATTTCAGGACACGTCTGGCCGGCCGCAGAAATTAGTAGCACTTAAACTTGACACAGGAGGATCTGCTGGCATACGGGTTCGCAAAATGACACATGATAGCCATGTTTCACAGAAAAAGAGATCTTTTGAGGGTGAGGATTCAAGCGATCCCAAGAAACCGAAGATAGACCAATGTGAGGATCACGTGAAAGAGATTGAAAGATTGAAGCAAGAACTGAAGAAACAGGAGTTAAATCAGGGTGATGACCACTTGAAAGAGATTGAAAGACTGAAGCAAGAAATAAAAACAAAGGATTTTGAAATCACCGCCCAGGATAAGATCATAACCGAACTGAAAAGGAAATTGGAAGAAATGAAAAAGAAAAAGAACAAGGAACGCTAAGAATTGCCAGTTGCATTTTTAAGTCTGTTGCAGCTCACGAGGTAGTTAATCAACCATGCTTACTATTGACAAGGCTGCTAAAGAGAATAGATTACCAGGGCAAAAGAAATGCGATTGAGAAATCCTGGATTTTGCAGGGGCCTAAGGTAGATGTCACCAAGGCGGATGTTTCTACCGTTTTTTATTTTTGCAATTTCCTTTTAGATTTGGTTGTTTACTTAATAATACTTAAAAATATATTTTTATTAAAATTTTATATTATCATTTTGTATTTGAAGTATCAATAACTCTTTAATTAGAGTATGTTTTATAGTAACAAGTTTGATAATATTTTAATTTATGGTAAATGTTTATTTTAAATGCAGATATTTTCAAAATTTAACGGATTGATTGTTATGATTAACTATTGAAAGTGAAAGGAAAAAAGAAGCTAAGTTTATGAAGGAGATGTTGATTTGATTCACTTCAAATTCAAATACTGCTCAGTTATTGAATTATATCTAGAGTTATAGATCTTGGATTTTAGCTTAATTTATATGACTAGAAAGATAAGAAATATACCTATAACTTTCAAGGGTATGGAAAGATCCAAATTTTCTATTTTTAAATTTAAAGTTTGGTCACAAAAGAGAAGTTCAAATTTATCTTGTAATTCAGTCCAAACACTACTCAGAGTTTTATCCATAACTAGAGTTTTAGAAGTTCAAATGATCTGAAAGTTGATGGGTGAAAGGAAAAGATAATTTTCAACAACTTTCATGAAGAACACTGCTAAATTTTGATTGCATCAATGTCAATTTAGCCAACCAAAGTGTTTGAGTGATGTTGTCCACCAAGTTCACTAATTAATAGTTGGCTACTACATCAATTATCAATTATCAAATAAATAGTTTTAAATTTTAGCTTATAAAATGAGATATTTGTCATTCATTTAGGTATTTTGTTTTTGATATCAAGATCATGTTCTTGCTCTCTCTCTTTATATTTTTGTAATACTTAAGTTTTGGTTTCATTAATCTCTTGTTTATGCTTTTCATTTACTTTATTATACTTAGTTAACTTATATCATATTCATGTTTTTATATTGTTTATTTAAGTTTTTTTCTCCTTCATAATGTCTAGCTAAGTTAATTATGTTAAGGTGAAAAGGTTTCACTAATGGTGTTATATTATAAATAACTTGCTATTAACATGTCTCATTATTTTTATCTTATTAATTCTTAATACCTTACTTGTTAAATGGTTAATCTAAATTTGTATTGTATAACACTTAATACATTAAATACTTGATCTTTTATAGTCTTCGGCCGACATCGTTATCATGAGAGGAACTTGATTTGTTGTCAACATAAGTTAGCATCATGAATACTTGATAAAATTTACAAGAATGGTGTTATGTAAATAAGATGTTAATATGATCATGTTAATAATTAATAAAGAGTTTACACCTTACTTATCTCTAATACTATTAGTGTATCCTTTAACCTTGACATTTGTTTTTATCATTGTATTATCTTCACATTAATCTTACATCTCAAAGTCCTCTTTAACTCATCTTCATCATCATCATTATTGTTGTTGTTATTGTTCTTCTTCTTCTTCTTCTTCTTATTATTATTATTATTATTATTATTTATAATTTATATAGTTAACTTCCATGTGATTCGACCCCGATCTTGTCGGGTTATTTATTACTTTGACACTCCTGCACTTGAGATAAGACATCAACTCTTTGATTGTGTCACCTACCAATTAAATTTGTTTTTTATGTATTTTTCAATTGCATAGAAAGGAGATGTACAAGTCGATTATATTAACAAAAACCTTAAAGAACTGCTTGATTTCCTGTTGCTATCTTTATTGGAACAATGGTTTTTTTTTTTGCATTTCATTTTTTTATTTAATTTTATAATGCTATGTTTATTGACATCATTGATCTGTGAAAATTTTTTTTTGTAATTCTTGTGGGGCTATTTTAGCCTCAACAAAACTTTATTTTGTAGAAATCTATTTGCTTTTATTGTTTGCACAAAATAAAAAATAAAAAAACTAAAATTAAATAAAAACAAAAAGGAAGCTTTGTATATGGGGTTTTGTCCAAGTTTTTTTAAGATCTTTTAATTTGGGAATCAAGTGTTTTGGTTTGAGATTCTATTTTGTTTTCATTTTGATTCTTGCTATAAGATAGAAAAGAGTCATTGGAAATTAACAAAGAAAAGAAAATTATTGATTAACTAAGATTTTAACAACAAAAAAGGTCATTAGTATTAAAATAATAATAAAAATTTAAAAGGGTTTGTCAAGCAATATTGTTTTTTTTTATTGAATTGATTATAAAAAATGAAAGCTATAATTTATAAATTATGTGAAAAAAGGCAAAAAGTTTTTCTATGGTTTTTTTTTAATAAAAGGGTTTACTATGCTTAAAAAAGAAAGGGAAAATATAAAATATACTATCAAACCATTGAGAAATTATCAGTTTTGCACCCAAAATATTTTTTATATTAATTTTATTACTAATGTAACAACTTGTAATTTAAAAAGTTTTTGAGCCTTGAACTTGATGAAAAATAGAATAAATCTCTTTTTTAAAAAAACTAATTAATTACTTATCGTGATTCTTAATTCTTTAAGGTCAATTAAATTTATATTGAAATTCAAATATAACAATCTTGAAATTTGGATACAATTTCTTCTTTATTCTTTTTCATGATAATTACAAAAACATTGTGATTACACACATACATAACAACAATAATAACAACTCATTTCTTTAAAGGATCATGCAATTTCAATTTCTAACAGTTTTTTCAAAATTTTGGTAGAGTTTTCTCTGTTTATGAACCGTACGTACTAAATTACCGACAATTTCAAAACATATAATGATTCAATATCACAATCATTTCAAACCATCATGGACTTTATTCCATCTAACATAACTCGCAATCACAAAGCATACATAATGAAAAGATGTATACTTAAATCAAGTACTAAACAAATGGAAAAGTCGTTAGAAACTCAACATATATTCATTATTCAAATTCCATCATTTATTAGTTCAATTTTAAGATGAAAATCAAATAATAAAATTGTCCAACAAAGTTGCAGCATGACCTTTCTTCCATTCTTTCTTTTGAAACATTATCCAATCATTTATTATGTTAACAAACATCATTCAATCATAAGAACAACACTCCAAATAACCCCTCTCATAAATTTAAATTTATTTAAAACACTTATATAGTCATCATTTATAAATTACATGTTCACCTAAAATAAACTCTTTAATTGAGTTTCTTACTTTTAAATGGATGATAAGTTAAGTGAAGTTTAGAAGAATAAGACAAGTCTCCTCCAATCTCTTCAAAACCCTAACTCCCAATCTTTAAACTCTTACAACCACTCAAATACCCTCTTTTTTATCACTTATTGACTTCTTTAATCACTCAAAGTTAGCTCTTTTTTTTTTAAGGATTTCATTAAGAAGTGAAAGAAAAAAAATTAAAGATCCCTAGGCCTTTCTTTATCCTTGTGGTCAGTGTCACGAGAGAGAATAAAAGAGTATTTATAGTGTCATTTCTTATTATTTGCATATGACCCTCATCTTTTTATTCCTTTTACATTAGCCACTAATCATTTATTATTTGCACATCGACCTTCATCTTTTAATCATTTGTACATTGGTTACTAGTTTTTAATTATTTGCATATTGACCTCTCCTTTTATCTTCCATATTTATTTTCTTTAACCAAGTTTACCTTTCTAGCAATTTAGTATTATATTCACCTCTTTTATTATTTTTACCTTGTTTATATTAACTTTAATATAATTTAAACCATTTAATCACCGAGTTAAGTTTTTTTCTTAAACTGTGGTGCTATATTCTCCCCTCCTTAATGAAAATTTCATCCTTAAAATTTGAACGTCATAGCTAAATTTATGAATAGTTCGAGATACCTTCTCATTTTTTATTCTTTTCCAAATCTCTTTCTCTATTTAAGAGCTTCTCTATAATTCTAAGATCCTTTTCGCTTCGGTCTAACAACCTTATTGGTTTTATTTCCAACATTAGAACTTCCTTAAACTTCTAAAGATCTTGGGGTAGTGCTTAAGAAGGATTTACTTTGTTTATATATATATATATATATATATAGCAATGAAACATGAAATGCATCATGAATCTTAGCTAATTATAAAGGTAGGGCTACTTTATATTCTACAAGTCTAATTCTCTTTTTAACTTTGAAAGATTTGATGTATCTCAGTTCTAACTTTCCTCTCATGTCAAAATATAGCATGTGCTTTCACAGTGCAACCTTTAAAAACACCATGTCTTCTATATCGAACTCAAGAGATGTCTTTCTATTATTTGTATAACTCTTCTACCTATCTTGGTCACCTTCATCCGATCTTTTATAGTCTTAATTTTTTCAGTGGTAACCTGTACCAGTTTTAGTCCAATCTCTTTCGTGTTACCAACCTCCTCCTAACACATTGATGTTCAACATTTTTGTTTATATAAAGCTTTATATGAAGTCATTCCCACTGTAGTGTGATAACCATTATTATATATGAACCTTACCAAATACAGATGGTCTTCCTAATTACTCTTGAAGTCCAAGATACACGCTCTTAATAAATCTTCCAACATTTAGTTCTTCCTTTCATACTGTATATTTGTTTGAGGGTGAAAAGCAATACTTTGATTTAATTTTGTCTCTAAAACATGTTGAATACTATTTCACAAATAAGAAATGAACTTGGGATCTCAATCTAAAACAATTTAAACTGGTACCCTGTGTAATCTTACTACCATATTCACATACAACCATGCCAATTTATCAAACGACTCCATCATTTTCACATGCAAGAAAAGCATAAACTTTGTCAAATGATCTATAATGGCTCAAACAACATCATTACCTTTTTTTCCCCTTAGGTAATCATGATATAAAATCCATAGTGATATCCTCCAACTTCCATTTGGGAATTAGGAGTGGTTATAAGGGCCTCACTAACTTTTGATATTCTATCTTCGCCTATTAACACACCGTATTTGGCTATATATTTAGACATTTTTTTCTTTATATTTAGCCACCAATAAAATTATTTCAAATCTCTGTATATCTAAAAACTTCTTAGATGTATAACACACACCATATTTAGATTTGTGAGATTGCTTCAACACTTCACATTCAAAGGGTTTGTCATT